CCTAACCTAACCTAACCTAACCTAACCTAACCTAACCTAACCTAACCTAACCTAACCTAACCTAACCTAACCTAACCTAACCTAACCTAACCTAACCTAACCTAACCTAACCTAACCTAACCTAACCTAACCTAACCTAACCGGACCCTAACTGGGACGGTCACGTGATGAGGAATCACGTGTCAGGGCCGGACCGGTCCGCTTAATCAGCGGGCCCTCGGTCCGGCCGGTAATCAGAGATAAGGAGCGGCACATGCCACACGAGCGTTAGCGAGATAAGATAAGAGCGTCAATCTAGAATCCAGACCCGGCCTAGACTTCAGGTCATTGGGACTCAGTAAGCGGCCCGGATTCTCGGCTGACCGATGGCATCGGTCTTTAGTCATCCTATGTGTAAGATGTATTTGCTCAGCATGCGGCCCGGCCCGCGCTGAGTCGTGCAGTATAATCGTGATTAGTCACCAGAGTGTAAGGCCTGATGAGCTCTATAAAAGAGCGAAATGGGTCGGAGGATGGAGTCCCCATCCCCCCATTGCCTAGGTCGCTCGCGTGCTCGCTCCCCCTAACCTACCCCCGACGAGCCCTTACCACTCCTATCCATGTCTGCTTTCATCCGTGCTGTCTCCCCCTTCGTCGCGTCTCTCGACGCGACTATGGCTTCGGTCGCCCAAGCGGCGGCCCATGAGGGCACTGCCCCGGAGCCAGGCGAGCTGACTAAGGTCGGCCGCCACCACCGGCTTTTTGCCGCGGCGAACGTCACCCAAGTGGTTGACATGGTCCCCTCGGACTATCGCCAGGCGTTCCGCCCCCTGCTTCTCGAGGTCTCTGAGACGCAGAAGAAGATCTTTCGCATCCAAGCGACGATCTCCAAGTGGGAAAAGACGATGGCGTCCGGAACGCTCCCCGCCCATATCAGACAAACCGCGCCCACGCTCCAACAGACGAAGGAGTTTGCCGCGAGTTCAGGAGGCGCCGCACAACGGGCGGCGTTGGAGAAGGTCCACGGGGACTATCTCCAGTCGTACTATACCGCCGAGCTTTTGGCAAAGAAAGACGAGCTTCTGTTTCTGGAAGGGCATATGACGCCCGAGAACATCTTCGAGCGCTGTAGCGCCAAGATCAAGGAGGTCTTCGACCGCCTCGTGGTGACCCAGAAGGTCCCACGCTTCGTTACCGATGGAAGCGGAGCAACCAACGTCATATTCGAGCAGTCCCCCCTCGTGAAGTCAGTTCACGACGAGGTCTTGGAGGACTGCCTCGCGTACGCTCTCCGCGTGATTGGTCTCGAGACCGACACGTGGAACGCCGGCCAGGACAAGGCCGCCGCCAAGAAGAACGTGCACAAAGCGCTCGACGTCGAGATGGGTGACACCGCCTCCGCGTCCGGATCTAAGGATCTGGCGAAGCTAGTCGACGAGCGCGTCAAACGAGAGGTCAAGAAGGCCCTCGCCGCCAAGTCAGGTGCCGGAAAGGCCGGATCTTCGTCGGTAAGTACCCGTACTCCGAAAGGAGCCAAGGGGAAGTCCGCCGATGTGAAAGTCCCATGGTCTGACATCTTCTCTTCTTTAGAAGCCCGCCCGGAAGAACTCCGGCGGCAAGAACGACGGGAAGAAGAAGACGAGCGGAAAAGCCTCGGGCGGACCCAAGGTCAGTCTTCAAGACGCCCCCAGCTATTTGCCTCCGCCGCTGATATCGGCGATGAAGAGGAATGGTGGGAAGGTTCCGCTGTCGGAGATGAAGTTCAAGCGCAAGAACGTCTCCGCCCAGAAGTCGACGGCGCAGCGTCAGGCGGACGCAGCCTCTTCGTCGGCGAAGGGCAAGGGCAAGGGTCGCGCGAAGTAGTCGCAGAAAGCCGAAGAACAGTATCCGCGGAAACGCGCGTGTTCAGGTACGGTGATTACTCCTCGATACCCGATTGGTGCTTATCGGTTCCAATCCCTAGGGCTATTTCTTATTTAATGACACACGTCCCGCTTGAGATTCTCGAGGCGGCCCGGTTTCGTTCAAATGTACATCGTAGTCCCGGGGTTGACTTGCCCCCGTATATATCGTATCAACTGTCCGCAGGAATGAAGTTTCTTTATTTCCGGCCGTATAACACTGAGTTAATCATCGACTCGTGGAAAGAATTTGAGCGTCGGCTCAGATGGCGGCTACACTTTATGTTGATCGATCGCAATGATGATAAGATCTATGATCCAGATTATGATATCGGAAAGGACCGTCAGAAGACGGAGAAACTACCGGATCTACCGCTTTATCTCGAATTGGGGATTCGGCGCGGCAGGCACTTCGTGCGTCAAGCCGTTAGCCATATGCCGGCCGAATCGTCGGAGAATACCTTTAAATCTCTCACTCCCGATACGTCAGCCATTCGAGATTATCTATTGTCACACGACTACATCGTGACCGGCACAGATAAGAATTTGGGCATTGCGGTGTCAGAGAGGACCTGGATTGTGGAACGTTCTTGGGATATACTTAGAAGTCCGGCCGACTATGAGGAAGTCAGTCAGGACAGAGTAATAAAAATCCTGAAAAAGAAATCAGCTGAAATGACTACGCTAGCGCGGATGGCAGAGTCGTTTGATAGCAGCGAAGGGACCCTATCGGCATACTTGCGGAGTAAGATACCCGATTGGGAACATGATGGCGATCCGATGATCCCGCGTTTTTACGGGATACCTAAAATTCACAAACAACCGGTGAAGTTTAGGCCGATCATTCCTTGCCATAGCGTCGTGATGAATCCCGCCGCAAAATTGATTTCTAAAAAACTTAAACCGATTATTAATTCGGCGCCAGCCATTATACATGGAACCAAAGATCTGGCGATAAAATTAAGTAAGTTGCAGCTCCAACCCGGACGTAAATTCTACATAGTAACCGGGGATGTCGTGGCGTTCTATCCGAACATTATGCTTGACAAGTGCCTTGATATTGCGTTAGAAGCTTTAGTCGAGCACTATGTATTCGGTGGGCGCATTGATATATCCAATCTAGGACGCGAAGCCGCGTCTGAAAAATGGATCTCGATATTTAAACGAGCGTTGCACGTCGGCAACACGCAACTTGTGACACAATTCCTAGGAAAATTCTTTATTCAGAAACGAGGCCTTGCTATGGGCGTCGCAGATTCGCCAGATTTGGCTAATATCTACGGCTTGTTTTTTGAACAGAAATGTGGAATTCTTGGGAACCCGCTCGTACCCTTTTATGGGCGGTACATTGATGACTGTCTAGCTATTGTCTATGCAACCTCGGCTGCAGAAGCATTATCAACGCTAGGCGTCGTAAAATTCGATGGTTGTGTCATTGAGTGGAATGCGTCGGAGTTTGGTGCTCCGTTCTTGGATATGTTTATCTACCGTGATGAGGTCGGAAGATTACAGCATCATCCATACCGCAAGGCGCAAAGCCACCAAGAAAGAATTCCATGGATATCACACCACCCTCTCGATGTAAAGAGAGGTACTTTTGTCGGTGAGATGTCCCGGTTAGCCACGCTGTCGTCGCTTCGTCAGCACTACTTGGATGCAATTAAGGGCTTGGTTGCCCTGTACATTGCGCGTGGTTATCCGGCATCGGCTATTAAAGCTTGGACTGAGAAGAATCTCCTAGAAAGATGGGAGAACCGCCTTCATGAGAAATCGCAGGAGGCACAGCACGGTGACGTACTAGTGCTTAAGTCTGAGTTTAACACCGCATGGAACTATTTCAATGCAAAGGAATTAGGAGAAACCGTGACAGGTTATTGGTCGGAGTGGCTCGAAAGAGCTTCTCGAGGAAATTACTCTACTGATTTTCCCTCGTGCGACGAGGAACCTTGGGGAGCGGGCGAAAGCTTTGCTCCTGCTCCTACTCGGCGCGAGCCGGATAGGAGAGTTCCCGATGTGCGAACGATCAAGACCTTCCAGGCCCGTTGGATAGTGTCGCGTAAGCGCACTACTAATTTAATGGACCTTGCCAGTCTTTGGAAAAAGACGGTTCTCGGAAAGTTGGAGGAACGGACGATGCAGGAATTCGATTCTGTGGAGTCACCATCCCTGGGTCCTACGGGAGACTCAGCGGCTCTGGGGCACGCGGACGAAGACGTTGCAATGGCACCCCCATTAGGAGTGTCCTTTGAACAGTCCAAGCAGTTCGTTGATGCATATGTGGCCAATCTCGGGCAGCCTTCCAGGCAGCCAGACAACGATGATGTCACATGGATTCATCGACGGTCCTCCCCGCCCCCGCCTCCTGGATGGTATGGGTTTGATCGCTAAGTACCGAGGTCCTTTACTGTGACGCTAGGGAAAAGTGGTCGACACGTATTATTCCGGGTGCGAGGGTATGGCTTCTAGTGATGGAAATGATCTGGGCCCCCTTGAGGGGATTTAAACCGGTGATCCCTCTCCTAGGCATTCATCGCGTGCTCTGACGAAACAGCAAGCGTAGGGAGCTTCTACTCCCCCTTGGGTCGCTTCGGCCGCCCTCGGGCTACTGTCTAGTCACCACGTCGTGTTTGCGTTCTAGTCAAAACAATTTTCTTTTGCACTGCGCGTTTATAAAAACGATCTTACAGGAACTACGTTCACAGCCTCTCATGCTGTGTATGGAAGAAGAGACTGTGTGTCTCAGGCTCTACCTAACCTAACCTAACGTACGTTCTACAGTTAATCCTGTATAAATAGGATATTGACTGTCTCTTTATAGCCTAACCTAATCTAAGCTAAGGCTAATCTAAGCTAACCAAAGCTAATCCTAATCTAACCGAACCTAACCGGACCCTAACTGGGACGGTCACGTGATGAGGAATCACGTGTCAGGGCCGGACCGGTCCGCTTAATCAGCGGGCCCTCGGTCCGGCCGGTAATCAGAGATAAGGAGCGGCACATGCCACACGAGCGTTAGCGAGATAAGATAAGAGCGTCAATCTAGAATCCAGACCCGGCCTAGACTTCAGGTCATTGGGACTCAGTAAGCGGCCCGGATTCTCGGCTGACCGATGGCATCGGTCTTTAGTCATCCTATGTGTAAGATGTATTTGCTCAGCATGCGGCCCGGCCCGCGCTGAGTCGTGCAGTATAATCGTGATTAGTCACCAGAGTGTAAGGCCTGATGAGCTCTATAAAAGAGCGAAATGGGTCGGAGGATGGAGTCCCCATCCCCCCATTGCCTAGGTCGCTACGCGTGCTCGCTCCCCCTAACCTACCCCCGACGAGCCCTTACCACTCCTATCCATGTCTGCTTTCATCCGTGCTGTCTCCCCCTTCGTCGCGTCTCTCGACGCGACTATGGCTTCGGTCGCCCAAGCGGCGGCCCATGAGGGCACTGCCCCGGAGCCAGGCGAGCTGACTAAGGTCGGCCGCCACCACCGGCTTTTTGCCGCGGCGAACGTCACCCAAGTGGTTGACATGGTCCCCTCGGACTATCGCCAGGCGTTCCGCCCCCTGCTTCTCGAGTCTCTGAGACGCAGAAGAAGATCTTTCGCATCCAAGCGACGATCTCCAAGTGGGAAAAGACGATGGCGTCCGGAACGCTCCCCGCCCATATCAGACAAACCGCGCCCACGCTCCAACAGACGAAGGAGTTTGCCGCGAGTTCAGGAGGCGCCGCACAACGGGCGGCGTTGGAGAAGGTCCACGGGGACTATCTCCAGTCGTACTATACCGCCGAGCTTTTGGCAAAGAAAGACGAGCTTCTGTTTCTGGAAGGGCATATGACGCCCGAGAACATCTTCGAGCGCTGTAGCGCCAAGATCAAGGAGGTCTTCGACCGCCTCGTGGTGACCCAGAAGGTCCCACGCTTCGTTACCGATGGAAGCGGAGCAACCAACGTCATATTCGAGCAGTCCCCCCTCGTGAAGTCAGTTCACGACGAGGTCTTGGAGGACTGCCTCGCGTACGCTCTCCGCGTGATTGGTCTCGAGACCGACACGTGGAACGCCGGCCAGGACAAGGCCGCCGCCAAGAAGAACGTGCACAAAGCGCTCGACGTCGAGATGGGTGACACCGCCTCCGCGTCCGGATCTAAGGATCTGGCGAAGCTAGTCGACGAGCGCGTCAAACGAGAGGTCAAGAAGGCCCTCGCCGCCAAGTCAGGTGCCGGAAAGGCCGGATCTTCGTCGGTAAGTACCCGTACTCCGAAAGGAGCCAAGGGGAAGTCCGCCGATGTGAAAGTCCCATGGTCTGACATCTTCTCTTCTTTAGAAGCCCGCCCGGAAGAACTCCGGCGGCAAGAACGACGGGAAGAAGAAGACGAGCGGAAAAGCCTCGGGCGGACCCAAGGTCAGTCTTCAAGACGCCCCCAGCTATTTGCCTCCGCCGCTGATATCGGCGATGAAGAGGAATGGTGGGAAGGTTCCGCTGTCGGAGATGAAGTTCAAGCGCAAGAACGTCTCCGCCCAGAAGTCGACGGCGCAGCGTCAGGCGGACGCAGCCTCTTCGTCGGCGAAGGGCAAGGGCAAGGGTCGCGCGAAGTAGTCGCAGAAAGCCGAAGAACAGTATCCGCGGAAACGCGCGTGTTCAGGTACGGTGATTACTCCTCGATACCCGATTGGTGCTTATCGGTTCCAATCCCTAGGGCTATTTCTTATTTAATGACACACGTCCCGCTTGAGATTCTCGAGGCGGCCCGGTTTCGTTCAAATGTACATCGTAGTCCCGGGGTTGACTTGCCCCCGTATATATCGTATCAACTGTCCGCAGGAATGAAGTTTCTTTATTTCCGGCCGTATAACACTGAGTTAATCATCGACTCGTGGAAAGAATTTGAGCGTCGGCTCAGATGGCGGCTACACTTTATGTTGATCGATCGCAATGATGATAAGATCTATGATCCAGATTATGATATCGGAA